CTGACATGCTAATCATTGATAACCCTGAATCAGCTATATTTACCATTATGTGGCTTGCTACATTGTTGGATTTTTCATTATCCGAGGAATAAATTTTAACAGTTTTATTGAAATGTTCTTATTCTTGTTGAAATAGCGAACGATCAAGGGAAATGTTTTGATATTTCCCTTATTAGTTGCATCTGTTAGAATTTCATATGGGTGCCCATCTTTCAAATCGTCCAGAATTGACCTCTAGGATTCAGGTACTAAAACACTTGTGATAGCCTTGCTCATTTTTGTTCTGCCATAAGTAAGGTTTGCACATATTGGAGTCGTTAAATATCATGAGAAAAAGATTCGACCCACATTATGATGATATAGCTCTGTGAATGTTGAACTACATGAGAGATGTATACGATTTCCACAAATGTAGCTGCATCTGTATTATTTATTATTTGGGAATATTTTTGTATTGCAATCGATGTTGATATACTCCCCTGTACTGACTTATATGAACGAAATGATGTTGATTTATTATTGGATAAAAATAAAATAGGATAGAAAGAAATTTACAAACTAGACATGTTTTTCGAATAAATATTTAAAATTATTTTAAAAATAATCAATTAATGTCTCTCAAAATTATTATTTATATATTAAAAATTTTAAAATACTAAAAAAAAAATTGCGGGATAAATTAAAAAATTGCGGTAGATTTTTGCGGGAGAGATGTTTTGTAAACTAAAAAATTGCGGAGTCTCCCGCTGATGGGGGGAGATATGGCAACCCTGTAGCCACATCGTATCCTATTTTTTAAAATTAATACCCAGATTAATGGGTGTTTATTTATAACAAGATTAGAATAACGATAAATTGTGCTTTCTTCGTCAGATAGATTATTCTGATTTACGTTCTAGGTTTCTGGAGGAAATCGAGGCTCAATTCGACGTGGCTGGGATTGAGAATAGCCTCTGGCTACCTCCCTTGATAAAATTTTTGTGAAAATAATCGAGAAAATCCTTAGAATTGTTAGGAGTAGATATCCAGAATGTCATTACATTGCCCATATTACATAAGGGAACAAATGTTAAGCCGTCTATCAAGCCAAAAAAGAAGCTTACATCGGTCTTCATTGATAGCAGACTTTTCAAAATACATGTATATATAAAATAAAACAGGGAATAAATGCTTTCCTGATGTATTGCGTTTATTAGAGTAAACAAAAAATAGCTTTGGTAAAAATAGCGTTTATTGATATTCTAATGACGTATAATTATTGAAAATTTTTTTGGAGACATGGCAAAATTTATATCCAAATACCATGTTGTTTCATCCTATTCTATTCTCCTCTCCTTCAAGATGTAAATCAATCAGCAAAAAAGGAAAAATCAAACATACTTATCTCACCTTCTCACTTTACCCAACCCCATATATTAGTAGTATAAAGCATTCCTATCCCATTATTCTTCGATTTCGAAGATCTCGTAGAAGAGGTGTTTGGCCTAAACCAATTTTATTTTATGTAAGAGAATTTCAAAAAGCATTGTTTATAAGCGTCAAATTTGATTTTTTAAAAATAATCTTTTTATTTGAAATTAATTTTCATAATTTATTTCCCTGTGAATATTTTTTTATACGGGTTTTTTTCCTATTAGCAAATTTAACATGATTCCATTTCCACTTTTAGAATAAAAAAATAAGTGTTCTAGCAAAAGTATATTAGTTAGATCTATAATAATTTAAAAATAAAATATTAATATCCTATTGAAAATAAGATAGGCAAATTTTTAAAATTGCTCTCCTGAAAAGTTAGAAAATATAACATATACGATCTTCATCTGAGGATATATATAACACTAATAAAAGGAAAAAACACATGTTTAAAATTGTAAAAGATGTTTTAATGAGAAAACTAATTTAGAAAATGGGAAAGTATTAAAATATTTAGGTAAATATTATTGCCAACAATATTAGGAATATTGAAAATATATATAAATTATTTTTATAAATAACTATTTATTTAAAAAAAATTTATTTTAAAAAATTCGCTAGATGGAGTATTTATTATTATTTGCTTTTCTATTTAACAAAACAACATATTTATATTGGCAGATTATATAACACTTACTAATGAATAAGGAAAAGGTCACTTTTAACCAGGGTTGTTGATTTGACCGTCAAATTCGAATAAATGTTTTTTTAAGTCAATATTTACTTAATTTTATATATATTATTATAACGAATCTACAATTTAATTTTATAATATTTTTTAAATTCATTGTCATTCAATAACTAATGCTTCTCCCTTGTCCTGATTCATATTCAATTTCTTTAATATTTCAATCAATTTTGCTGTTGTCGAGATCTTCAATCGATTTCTATTTTAGTAAGAATATTAACTCAAATCGATAAATTTCTTTCTGAAGAAGTAGAACTAGATATTGTTTGTAAAATGCCTGGTGGGAAAATTTCATTCCACTGTGGCCGGAATCTGATTGTTTCTTATTGAAGTTATTGCTTTTCACATTATTTGCTATTAAACATGCCGAAATATTTTGATCATCACCACCTTGTAAAATGCTTAATTCTTGAATTATACCAATTCATTAAATTCACTATTAGTGAGATACTCACCTTGATATTGGGGACCCAATAAATAAGATCATATGTATTTATATCGTTTTTTCATTTTTCGAACATATTTTTAACTTTTTTTCCTTCAGATTTGTTAGAATATTTGACCAATGACCAAGTCAAATATTATTCCAGTTAATTTACCGAATTAGACAAGTCAATTGCCGACTTGTCAACCCTGCTTTTAACAGTTGTTGAATTGGAAGCATTTTTTCCTTGTCGTCAAAATATTAGCACGGCCCAAAATATATTACTTGTTCTTTCAATATATATGACTTAATGGATATTATACTACTTTGTATCAATAATTATTATTTGTGGTGTCCCAATAGTAGTGGGCAATAGTTATGTGGTATATTTGATCATTTGTTTTTAAATATATATATAAATTGAGAAATTTTTTAAAAACCAACTTATTTTTAATTATCTTGCACTATTTTTAAACTCTTAAAAATACTACCACCATTTTTCTATTTTATCCAAATACCAATTTTCAACCCCAAATAAACGTATAATTAATAAATAAAAATATAATTCATTTTTAATTAAATTTATATGATGATGACTGATGAATTAAATGACTTTGATTGATTAAATTATCAAAAAGTCCTCTCAAAAAGAGGGGTCATTGGGAATATGAATATGCAATATAATAACAGATAGTTGTCTAGAAGAATAAGATCCAATCTTATTATTATTCATATATTAATAAAAAGTAGAGCATAATTATTTTTTCTTAAACCTATAATCATCAACCTTTTTTTTATCTATAAAAACTATTTTTAAAGATAACTAAAAAATCAACCTAAAGATCTCCAATAAAATTTACGGGGGAAACCAACCTAGTACTCTCCCCTGCTACGCCTATTTAATCGGATAAATTTTCCATCCAATATTTGAATCAGTTCAACTCAGGTCCCCTTTTTAAAACTGACTGCATAATTTATTAACGAGTTTTAAAATAACATAATAGTGCAATAGGATTATTTTTTAATTAAAAGTCGAATTATTCAAAACAAATAGGAATAGTAAAATTTTCTATTCGTTTAAATGAATCGAATAATCCCCTATTAGAATTGTACTTGTTTTTAAATTTTAACCAGTTGTTAAATTACGCTAGATGCATTATTTTTATATAAGAGTGTATAAAGTGGATGCTAACAGGAATTATTAGTCAGAGCTATTTAAATTTGATTATGGCTATTAATCATAGTCATTTATGATTAGATCTAATAACTATAGTTATTTTTTTTTATAAACTATAGCTTTACAAAAGTGGCGATAACTTCGTTATCACACCAATAAACTATTAACATTTCCAAGAATTTGAATAAATCAGACAAACGTTTTTGGTATTTTCAGAGATGTAATACTAATAGACATAATATTTTTTAAAATTCCCAATCCATTTCAAACTATAACGAAATGATTAAATTTAATGGTTAATCTAACGGTTTGTCAGCTAGTGTTGTTAAACAGCTCGTTTTGAGCCGATTTTTTAAAACGGCTAACTTAATATTTTAGTCAGAAAAATATTGCCTAAGCCTTGAGATTTCGATAATATATGTCTAAACCTTTGTTCATTCTATGAGCAAAATCTTCAGGCTTGCGTAATATTTTTCTGGATGAAATATTGAGATAACCTTTTTAAAATAGGCTCAAAACGAGCCGTTTAACAACACTACTGCCAACGTGTCTGAAAAAGCCCAAAAATTTAATTATAAATTTAACATAGTGTCAAATCACATTATTTTTTTCGAAGTTTCCTCACTAAAAAAATTAAATTATGGGCCAAAATATTATATTAAAAAAGTGTTAAATTTTATCGTCCTATTTTTTAGGCTTCTAGATAAGAGGTCTACGTGGCCCGGCTGAACTAAAAATTTAAAGAGCTAGTAGGGAAACTTGTACAAAATATTCAAATTCGCCAATCAAATACAGAATTTCGTAAATTTTGTTTAATTTAGAATAAAGTAAATTAGTGATTTTTTTCCAAATCATTTTTTTTACAGGTCATGATGAAAAATTTTACTAAATCTTAACAAGCCAGATTGATATCTAATCTAGATTACTATGATAACTAAAAAGATTTGAATGGTTTATATAGTTTAAAATAAATAGAAGTAATTGACATGTCCATGTAACATAATATGATAAATTTTTATGTCTAGCCATGTTGTCATGTCAATATTCGTTGAGCCGTTCATGTGTCAAGTTTAAAAAAAATAATTAAATATAGAGCTAAATTTTATTCAGAAATTATTTGCAATCCTTATTATTTTTTTTCTTAAATATTGTCATCTTATCTTTGTATCTGAATAAGGCTTAAACACATGGCCGCTTCAGGATGTTAAACATAAAATGATATAAACAATAAAATTAAATATATAGTATATATTTATTTGCACTTAATTTTTTATGCTTAATAAAATAAATAAATATTATACAAATCTTAATGAGTATATTCCTTAATCAACAGTGACTATCCTTCTATCCTACAAAATATAAAATTTATCTAAAACAAAATATCAACATCTCTCAACCAAAACATATGTGTTGCAGAATTCAGTTTAATTTTTCCGTATCAATTCTTCTTTGTGATCAACAAGATCAGGTTCTGTTGTAGGATCCGGTTCGTTTAAAGATTCGGTAGCAAATGTTTTAATGATTTGATTGGATCCGCCTTGTAACCAATCAGGAACGGTCTTTGCATGCAGTCTCCATTTGCCGTAAGTATCCGCTAAATGGTTTTCAAATACTACATATTCTAAAACATCTCGAGGAGGTATCTCTGAGTTCTGGGCGTGGGTGTAAAGAAAAATTTAATTTAGTATTAAGGTATCGCATTAATTGTAAAATATAATTGCATATAGGATTAGGCGCTCTTAAATATATTTAAAAACCTGGGCTGGGCAAAAAAATTTAACCAAATAATTATCTAGTGGAGAAATCGCATGATGATTCATCTAAAAATTCATTCATTTCTCATATTTTCGACTTCCTTTTGAAGCTATTTATAAAATTCGACTGAACCAAATTTTATAAATATAGACGGTGTCAGAAAAAATAAGGGCGATTTTTAAAAAAGGAATGGACCTAAAATGGTCTTAATTTGTAAAAATGATTATAGACCCACATTTTTGTTCTTTATTGAGCTGTTTTATTATGACTACAAAAAATTTTCCTTGTAACCTCCTAATTATTTTATCTATAGATCTTTATATTATGATCCCATAAACTTGCATAAATATGGCAATAAAGGGTGCGTAAAAAAATCATTTCAAAGAAAACAAATAAATTAAAATTTCAGATAAATCATAAACGAATGTAATAATAATACTTGAACATGAGTCGGACAAGCCCCATATTTGAGCCTACCAAAACGATCGTATATAGCTAATCGTTGGCGAGTGTAGAGCCTAACTGTTATCTGTCCAAAGTCAGGTGGCCCTGATTTTGTGGGCTTGAGAGAAAATACTCGGGCGTGAACTATCTTGGGAGGTTCGATAGATTTGCAGAATTTCCAATCTACCTGTAAAAAATCAAGTTTGAATCCTTATAATATTTTGTTATCATATAAACCCATAATGAAAAAAATATACATTATAAAATTAATATGTAGATAACATAATTATGCTTAAATATTGCCAATCTCTTTTATAAGTTATCAATATAATCTAATTTCAAATAAAGGATTAAAAAATTCTATATCTATAAAAACAATATATTAATATTTAAAATCTTTGGTCTACTTGATAACTAATGGGGAGTGGGAGCAAATACAATAATAAATATCTTGGTGAATCCAGAAATTTTGCGAAAAATGTATTAAAAATCATACTGTGCAATGTTCCAGTCCATGAGTCATATCGACATATGCTTTCTCAGTGACCAATTCGTGTAATACTTTTTCATCAACTGCCATCATAGCGTGATGAGCTCTAATATAAATATCATGAGCTAATGAAGGAAACAATTTTATACTAAATTCAGGATCAATTTTTTTAATTTTTTGAACATCCAACATTGATCTTCCTATTATTCATAAGATAAAATTATGTGTATATTATATTTTGGTGCTATTAAATTTTTATGCAATTTTAATTTAAGAGAATACGTGTATAATTAAATGCTTTCTTGTTACTTTACAAATGAGTATTAATATCAAAAAATTTAAGCATTATTCAATTTTTTTATTCAATAAAATCATTATATATTAAATATACAGAGATAGAAATGCAAAAAAAACAAATCATAAATGTTAGACAAAAAATATTTTATTTAGACATTTTTATTAATTTAAACTTTAAATCTGATGGTGCCGATCCATAAATTTTTTACCGATCCGATCCGATATTACTAAAAAACGGATCCGATTCCGAACTGATATTTATTTTTATTAACCATCTATCATTGTATCAATGTCATAAATATATCAATATTTTTTACTTAACCAACTAACTTTCACGAATGATTAAGTGTATTTTATATCTTTCATAAGTTATTATTCTCATTTAATATTTGCAATATTCATGGGGAATGTAGTGTTGATAAACAGCTCCATTTAGCCTATTTTAAAAAGGACCAAATCAAAATTTTAACTAAAATATTATTACCTATGCCTCAAAATTTCGCCAATAGAAGTCCAAACCTTTCTGATATCTCTGGGAAAAATTAATAAATATGGGTAATTTACTCTTGGTCAAAATTTTGATTTAATCGTTTTTAATATTGGCAAATCGAGCCGTTTAGCAGCACAAACTGAATGGTGACTCGTTTCATATTTTTAAAATCCTCCTTTTTGCAGATAATAAAAAAATAGTACAAAATTTTAAACTATTTTTTTAAACATTACAAAAAATAAATTGTATATTAGTTCCTTTCATTAAATTATTATGAAATTATTTATAAAATAAAAAAAATATAATCTAACTAAAAACAATAAAAATTATTGGATCAGATCGCTTTAGTAAAAAAAAAGAACGGCTCGATCCGATATTTCTTGACAACCCTAAATCGGTGCTGATCTAATATTAAATCGGCATAGACCTATTGATGAGTACAATAAATCAAATGGGTATTAAGATATTTGTGTATATAAATGATATGTGTTAAAAAAATAAGAATAAAAACAATTTTAAAATAAATTTATTGTCATTTCTACAACTAATTTTCATACTTTTAAATAATTTTATTTTAGAAGAATCTATATTTTTCATGGGTAACATACAATTTTAATCATGCTCAGGAAGTCTTGCCTATGCAAAACTTTGGTAAAGATAATGCACCAAATCGAACCAGGGTGAATAACTTGTGCACATCCTTAATATCTCACTTCTTTCCCTTTTCTAGGCAATAAAATTTATGTTGCTTACATAATTTGTATCTCAAATCTTATTAAAATTTACCTAAAGAAAAACGATCTCTTTCAAATGATGGAAGCTAGTTAACTTAATGATGATCATGGATAATCAATAACCCAATATACCAAATGGGTCATTCCATATCAAATCAATCACTTTACAACTCTACCATCTCAGATTTTGCTGAAATTTGGTATATAAGTTAATGAAGTGTTGTAATTGACGGATCCAAAATATTAGCCCCCCGAAGATATAGGGTCTCAAAGTAGCTCTGCGGGGTCATTTTTCGAAAAAAATGATTTTTTAAAATTGGGATAACTTTAATATTAAATGTAGTATATTTATCTAACATGGCTCATTTTATAGTCCTAAATAAACTCTTCCACATATTTTAAATGGAATTAATTTTTAATTTTTCTTAAATTGCGGTCAAAAATTTGTAATTAATTTTTTTAAATGTTAGTATAAATTTTTTTTCCTGTTTTCAGATATTTTGTAAAGAGTATCAAGAACTGTTCATATAATAATTTTCAGAGTGGTAAAAATAAATTAAGTAAAAAAAATTCCAAAAATAAAAAACCGCTAGATGCCGTTTATAATTTTAAATAGATTAAGATTTAATTTTTGAAAATATAAGTCAATCTTCCTTTTATTTATATCCTATAATATAATATTTGTTGAATAAATCGCATTTTAGCACAAAATAAAATTTCCGCTAGATAGCGCAAGTATTCTAAAATAAATAAAAACCTCATTTTTGTGAAATATATCAGTAGATATTTTTATTTATTCTATAATATTTATTAATTTAATTCATAGTAAAATTACTTATAGTATTTTTAGATAAGAAAGGGTAACCATTTTTCATATTTTGAATTATCAAATCGTTGCTATTATTTATTTCCATAGCTGGTTGAAGAATTTCGCCTATTCCCTTTGAAATTCTTGCAAGCTTTTGCTTAGGATGTCTCTTATCTTTTAATCTCTTTTTTTTAATTGGAGATTGTCCAATATCTAATAAAGTTGAATTTAAGGATTCGAAGAGAGTTGTGGGTTATCATCCTTTTCTGTTTCTATGGTGGTATTTAAAAATTCATTTGAAGTTGAAGGGATCTTGTATTCCTCGTAATTTGGAATATCCTCCTTTTTATATTTATATAAAGTTAAGACACAGATATAATCTCCAATGTTGATATTAGAAAATTCAGACATCCATGGACATATCTTATGGAGTCCTTTCTTTGATAAATGCTTTTTTATATTAAAATGATTTTTACAAATCATGATATTCAAATTTAAATAGAAATAATTAATTTTAAAAATAGATAAAATTCTTGTAAAAATAGAAAACTGGAATTGGTAAATTTAATTTGGAAAATAAATCGAAAAATCGATAATTAATTTAAATCATATTTATCTATTTTAGAATACTTGCGCTATATAGCGGAAATTTTATTTTTGTGCCAAAATGCGATTTTATTCAACAAATTTCAAAAATTAAATTTTAAGCTATTTAATATTATTAACGCCATCTAGTGGTTTTTATATTTTTTCTATTTAATTCTTTTTTTTACCACTCTGAAAATTTTTATATGAACAGTTCTTGATACTCTTTATAAAATATCTGAAAATTGGAAAAAAAAAATTATACTAACATTTAAAAAAATTAATTACAAATTTTTTAACGCAATTTAAAAAAATTAATTACAAATTTTTTACCGCAATTTAAAAAAATTTTATAAATTAAAAATTAATTCCATTTAAAATATTTGGAAGAGTTTACTTAGGGCTATAGAATGAGCCATGATAGATAAATATACTACATTTAAATATTAAAGTTATCCCGATTTTAAAAAATCATTTTTTTCGAAAAATGACCTCGCAGAGGTACTTTGAGACCCTATATCTCCCGTTCTAGTAGAGTAAAGGGGCTAATATTTTGGTGAGGTTGTAAAGTGATTGATTGATATGGAATGACCCAAATATTAATTGTCATAATTAACATAAACTGCTAAATGCCCAATTCTATAATGTTATAAAAACGTCTTTCATAGATTCATTTGAAAAATGTGCAATGCAGAAGAGTATTTGTCTGTTTTAAAAAATTTTCTTTTAACTGTATGGGCCCACTTACTTAAAAAAGCTTTATTGTTAATTGAAAAACCTACACAATTTAAAAAAATGATAATCATTTTTATTTAAATTTACATTCTATTCTATATAAAGTGATCACAAATAAAAATAATAGAAAAAAAATACTTTCGATGAACAAAAAAAATTTTATATTTATGTCATTTTATATTATAAAATATATATTTATATTTGTAAATTAAACTACTATTTTTGATATAAAAATATTCAAATGCTCATTTGAAGAGATTTGTTAAACCATATTTTTGGAAGAAATTAGCAGAACAGATTTTTACATATTAAAAATAATAGGGCTGTACCAATATTAAATATCGGATCGAATCGGCAACGATACATGTAAAATTGATCTGATCTATTTACTTTTTTTTTGTTATTTTATGTATATTTATACAACATAATTATAAGTTTTTTTTATCTATTATAACATAATTTTTTTAAATTATAGTCTTAATTGTAGAAATAAAAAAATTAAATGCATAATTCGATTTTTTGCATAAAAAATATTGATTTTTTAATTACATTTGGATCAAAGGGGGGTGGTGAAAAAATCAGTATAAATATGGGATCGGTATCAGATCGGTTTTGAACCAATATCGAAAAATATTGGATCAGATTGGTGATAAATATGTGGATCGGCATTAAAAAATAATATTTTATTTCATAATGTTGCATATTTTATTAATTAAAAAAACATTAAAATAAATAGAGCCAAACTAGCCATTAAAATATGTGGGCAGTTAAACAAAATTTTTAGATAAATGGTTGGGCAGGTGGGTAAATTCTTTTAAAAAACTCATGGATGGGCAAATAAGCAGAATTTTGTTTAAATAATAAGTGAAAGGGCAGACATTTAGATTAAACCTGCCCATTGCAGACCTCTATTAAATACACAAATGAAAATAGTTAATTAACTATTATTAAAAAAATTAGAAGGTAAAAAAAATAAGAGGTAACATATCATTATAATTAGAGTTTGGAACTTGGACTAAAAATGGTTCTAGTTCTGAATATTTTATAAAAGTGGTTTAAATTCCTAAAATTTTGAAAATTAAACAAAATAATATTTAGAAACTAATAAATTAAAACTTTATCTAGGAGAGGTTCCACCAATTGCTTCAACTAAATAAGTTACAAAAAGGGTTTATATTTTTAAAAAACTCTTTTATATATGGTTTTTCAATAATATGAAACCATAAATTGCTTGTAAATATAGTCAATATTATATATAAATTATTTTTAACAGTAATAGTTTCTGAAAATTTTATAATAAGTTCTGGTTTCTATAAATTCTAAAAAAAATGAAGGTTCTAGTAATTTGTTTCAGTTCTGAGAGTTCCAAGCTCTAGATATATTAAAGATATTTTTATAACCTTTTAACATCACCCCTTTTGCTTGTTCAATAGCTTTCCCTTTTATATTAGAAGAAACACCATCTCCTTCAGGTGGTATAAAAGGCTCTAAAACACCAGAAGTACAACTAATAGTAATTGGCTTTTCAATATATGGTCTATATGGCAGAACTCCTAAAATTTGTAGTCTAATTATTATATAAAAGAAAAAAACCTTCTTTTTTCATTTGAGACCGAATCTCCTCTGGAGTTAATTTGGATCTTTTATACATTAAATCAGTGTCTACAAGATCAGTATACACAAATTTTTTGGCTCTCAAAAAGCGAAACCTTGGATTATAATGCTTAGACTTCATTTTATAACTCACATATCTGTAATTTATAAAAATGGGGCAAATACCTGATTATTAGATTTAAAATATGACAATATTAAATTATTTAACCTTTGACAACTATCTTTTTAAAAATATTTATCATTTTTTGCTTAATTCGTATGCATCCACATTGTGATTTTAATTATTGACAACTGTCATTTTTCAATGCTTCCTAAATCAAAGGGATAAATCAATGTATCTTTGGGTTGAATATAAATAAAATATTGCAAAATATAATAATTTAAATCATAAATATAAATAAATATATTGTTTATACCTTCTGTTATAACCCAGTCATTTTAGTTTTGATATTGGGTATAAGGTAGGGTAGGGGAATGACTAAAATACGCGTCCCCGAAAACTACGCGTCCCTACGCGTCCCCAGTCAAAACGACTATTTTCTATTATTTTTAATAGGAAATCTTATTAAGCTTTATAAGATGAGTTAGAAAATGTTTTTTTTAATTTAAAAAAAATACGGTAACTATATAAAATTTACAAAAATTTATTTTTTTAAAAAATAAACTACGCGTCCCTACGCGTCCCCGGTCAAAATACAGTTTTTTTTTAAAAATCAAGATTCATATTTAGCTCATTAAAAGAATACAGAATATGTAAATATTTTATTTTAAACTATTTTATAACTTAGTGATTTTTTCAAAAAACACTCTTTTTTTTCAAAAACACTACGCGTCCCCGGTCAAAAAACCGTTTTTTTAAAAAAATAAACGCAGATTCATGTTTAGCTTTTTAAGGAGATTCAGAAAATGGTATTAATAAAAAAAAAATTTAAAAAAAAATTTTTTCCAAAAAATTTTTTTTGGCTAAACTACGCGTCCCTACGCGTCCCCTGTCAAAATACAGTTTTTTAAAAAAAATCAAAACGGATTCATATTTAGCTCATTAAAAGAATACAGAATATGTAAATATTATATTTTAAACTATTTTATAACTTAGTGATTTTTTCAAAAAACACTTTTTTTTTCAAAAACACTACGCGTCCCCGGTCAAAAAACCGTTTTTTTTTAAAAATAAAAGCAGATTCATGTTTAGCTTTTTAAGGAGATTCAGAAAATGGTATTAATAAAAAAAATTTTAAAAAAAAATTTTTTCGAAAAATTTTTTTTGGCTAAACTACGCATCCCTACGCGTCCCCGGTCAAAATACAGTTTTTTTAAAAAAATCGAAACAGATTATTCATATTTAGCTCATTAAAAGAATACAGAATATGTAAATATTATATTTTAAACTATTTTATAACTTAGTGATTTTTTCAAAAAACACTTTTTTCGAAAACACTACGTGTCCCCGGTCATAAAACTGTTTTTTTTTTAAAATAAAAGCAGATTCATGTTTAGCTTTTCAAGGAGATTCAGAATAATTTTGGTAGTTGAGAATTCAAATAAAATATTTAAAAAAGCCAATGTCTAGCCCATATTTAAAATTAAAAAATTTTCAAGGATATCTATTTTAAATTTTACCCAAGTTGATTTCTATCATAAATGTAAATTATGATATTTCTAATACCCTTACATTGCAACATTTTTACCTCTTTTTCTCCTAAATATTAATATTTTTATGAAATATATTAATAAAGCATATTTAGTATCGTATACACCTAACTAATTAGTAATTACCCATCAACCCAGTCATTCTGATTAAATTAAATTAATTTTATAAAAAAAATTTTTTAATATATATATATACAAATATATCAAAATATAAAATTGACGGGGGGGCTCAATGGTTAGAACGTATGCCTTCCGAACGATAAGTTGCTAGTTCGAATCCCGTTTTGCCATAAAAAATTTTAAAAAAAAATTTTTAACATTAGCGAGATAATAATAGCTCTCGATTTATTTAACATTAAGATGATAGGAAAGTTGATAGAAAAAAAAATTTTAACATTAGGAGATAGGAAAGTGAAATTAACGTTAAGAAGATATCAAAGTTGATAGAAAAAAAATACGAAAACGTTCATTTTCTTGATTACATTTATAGATAGATAGATATATATCATATTAAATCAATGTGTTAAAAAGCTAAAAAATCAAACAAAGTTGAGGGTTCTAAATCTGATTGATGAATTAGAAAATATTATAATTATTAATTTATTTTTCATTTATGTTAGTAATAAGTTTTTTAAAATAACTTTCTAATCTTACATTAATAGTTAAAATTTATTTAAAAATTTATCATTTTATATGTTTTGTATATGGGAGACTGGGGTTAGGACCCCGGGCTTGGCAAAGCACTTAATCTCATTTCAAAATTAAATATCCTAATATAGTTTTTATTAGTTTACATCTATAGACAAAAAATCTTTTGAAATATTTAATTTCAAAAAATTTTTACATGACAAAATTTTAATTTTTATTAAAATATATAATCATTTATATCTAAATTAAATTTTATAGTTAATTTTAAACACTCTTCTATAATTTGGAAAAGTTCAATGTGTATTTATTATATCTAGATAATATTTCAATCATAATTTGTCAATAATAAAATACCATTTATATTACATATTATTATATACAATCGTAATAGGTAAAAAAATGTAAATATTCGTTTGTTGTAAAATAATGTGGGTGTTTCAATCACGGTAGTCTTTATAGAATGTTGTTTCCGACGTATCACGATTTAGTTTTCCAATTTCAATCATTGACCAAACTATAATATGATGTTGTTTTCATCTTCGATATCTATTTATAGTTTATATAATAATATAATATATTTATTTTTATATGCCTTTTTACTTTCAATAATTATAGTCAAAAATTTCAAATTATAGGACTTTAATAATTGGTAATATTTAAACTTAAAAATAACTATTTATATTGTTATTACAAAAAAATAATTGGATGCATTGTTCTAACTGTACAAACTTTCTCTAATATTAGCTAAACATTACATTATTTATACTATATTAATATATTTTATAGTTATAATATTATGGTTTTAGCCATAAAAATATGAAAATTATTAATTTTAATATTTTTACGTTTCCGCTCTTAGCCACGTGGAGGCAACCAGTTGAAAGAGCTTTTAGGTCTTAGTTTAAAAAAAATACCAAGACCATGGATATATAACAGGTTTAAAATTTTAAACCTGAAATATAACCAAAATATAATATATTAAAAAGTTTACATTAATTTTAAAAAAAAATATTAAACAAAAAATTTATTTGTCATAATCTACTTTTAGGTCTTAGTTTAAAAAAAATACCAAGACCATGGATATATAACAGGTTTAAAATTTTAAACCTGAAATATAACCAAAATATAATATATTAAAAAGTTTACATTAATTTAAAAAAAAAATATTAAACAAAAAATTTATTTGTCATAATCTACTTTTAGGTCTTAGTTAAAAAAAATACCAAGACCATGGATATATAACAGGTTTAAAATTTTAAACCTGAAATATAACCAAAATATAATATATTAAAAAATTTACATACATTTAAAAAAAATTAATTAAAGAAAAAAACTAGTCTACTCTAACAACGCATCTTCTTCATTACGCTCATTAGATTCGACAGTTAAATTATTAACCTGTGACACCAAGTCAACCTGTTGACTTGGCATCGGGGATATTGCTGGTTGGGGATTCGGTACTGGAATGGTCTCATATCGGGAGGGAGGCATTTGCGGCATGACGTTTGTCTCCTCAACGTCACGATAGCTTCGGCGGACTAGGGGTTCTGGACAGAACCTTACGATATGGCCTTCCCCACATCTGTAACAGATCGGGGGTTCTCTGGAGCCTCTGGAGAAGGAACCATAGTTTCGTCTTGGGCTTCGGGACCTACGAGACTGTCTGTCTCGAGTAGATCTGGTAATAGGTCTAGCTATATTGAGCATTTGCCCATATAACCTTGATGCTTCAAGCCTGGCATCCTCCAGCCAGTTGTCTGACTCCACTGAGCCATCAATCATGCGGATTTGAAGTCGTATGAGATAGTTGCCTACACGGAAAGTAGATGTCATCTTTGAAATATTTTTTTTTTTAAATTTAATAAAGTTATATAAATTGATAAATTTTTTATATGTCTTATATAGATAAAAAAAACAATGGATTTTACATAAATAAAAATTTATCAATCCCCTTCAACTTATTTAGGTCTAAAAAATAAAAATTATTTAAAAACATATTTTCTTCGCTCCCCCCCCCCCCCTTCTTCAACTCTTGAATGGTTATGATTAAGAAATATTTTGTAATGGTGGAACAATGGATTTTGATAAATTATAAAGTATTAATTATTTTATAGAAAACTAATTGTATCATTCGACTATAAATTTTAAAAACCGAGGCAATTATGTATAAGATGGTAAACATCATAATATGTTTACAAATATCTTTGTGGTTACAACTGTGATTATATAAAATAACAGCCTTTGTTCAACAAAAATGAAAATCATTACTTGTTTATCGCATTCGAATTTTGTGATGCTAGTTAATTTCGATAACAAGAAGGGGCAATTAAAATTAATTATGTTGTAAACACAACAGCATTCGTTATTATGCGATTCATTTTGAATAGTATTGTTTAAGTTATTTTGAAACAAAGGTGATGGGGGAGTGTTTCTATTAAAGGAGAGGGAGAGGGGTAATTTTTATTAGCTTATGATGATATTTACAAAAACATTCAAATTTCTGCAGGGAGTTATTATTTATTTAAAATTCATTGATTATATTTAAAATTAATGTATTAACAATATTGAAATATTTTTTTTTCTAAATTAAATGGTTTGCGTGAGTATTAATATTATAGTCATTTATCAGGCTCGTACCCAGTGGAGGACAGAAAGCCAGTCTCTCCTAGTCAAATAATGCAGATGCCTGTTAAAATATTTTTCGAAAATATTACTGTTTTATGATTATTAATATAAAATCATTCCTACCTCTTATATACATAATTCAATTTAATTATCACATTTACAGCAGAAATAAATACGCTATTAATTTATTTTATAATATCATTTCAAATTTTCCTTGGCCTTATATTAAACTTACTATTTTAAAATTTCCCAACAAATCATTTGAAACCTTTTCACTGCAAAGTTAGTAAATTATTTGAAAAATTTATATCTAATATAACAAGTTTATTTAAAGAATGGATATAAGGACCTTT